AGTTGCTTTGTGTATGAAAACATAACTTCTCTGAAACTCTGCCTGGTACAGAGGACCTGTTGTTTTAAGCAGAGACTGTGTCAGTGTGTCATCTTTGACTTTGGATACTGAAGTAGACATCCCATCTATTGGACCAGCCGTCAACCTTTTCACTAAGAAAGAACTTGAATGAGCCAGTCAAAGAGTGTGTTAGTGTTCTATTTTCCGATGTGACAAAAAATGTTATAGCTTACAATAAGTCGTCCCATGAGTTTGAACTGGTTAAAAAGTTGTGTAGATATTTTAAAGAAATCAGTAATCACGGTTAACAACCTGATATCAACAATTTGGATTACTTGAAGAAGTATTCTACCATAATTATTAGTCATATATAACCCTAAACAAATAGAATAAATATAGTCAGCTGTGCTGGGGTTAGCATAAGTTCTGGCGTCCACCACTAGGCTTGCCGTGTAGTTACGGCGCACACCACTGCAGCGTCTGCTGGTTGCATATGGCTTCTGCACTCCTCGCCTGCAGTGGTGTGCGCCATAACTACACGGCACTCCTAGCGGTGGGCGCCGGAACCTTCCTTTGATAGTCTTTATTTATTCTATTTGTGTATGATATAACCCAGGGGCCATCAACATAGAATTCAAATCAGTAATTTACTTCAGCACAAACTGTTGATGGCTCTATGTCCATTTTGATTCCAAAACTGAGGACAACTTCGGCACGAGGATGGAATGTCTACTATCAATAGACAAAGGTTTCATCACTCAACTACAAATGTGTATGTTGTTCTCACAGTTAAAGTTAACTCTGCATCTGTCTAGGTGTCACAAACATTAAAATCGGTAGTGATTTTAAAACTTTAATCTAAGTATATTTTTGAAGAAACGGTTGAAGGTACAAGAGTGCAGGCCTATATGTATGAAATTGAATAATGGGGTTCTCAGCTATTAAGAGTTGAAAACTTGTAATCTTTATTGTGATTAAATCCTGTCTTTCGTTATTTGCAATACTCTTATGTCATAGAACAAAGAGATTGTAGAATTTTGTATTTTTTAATTGTATTAATTTTATTATAACTGCATATCTGTTTATATCCAAAGCATTAAAAATTTGTACTATGCTTTTCAATGTACGGTACATAAATGTATTTAGGTGCAATTAAAAACCTGTGAAACCTATTCTGTGTTTTTATCTATTCCTGGAGTGTATTAAAAAAAATAACAAGGTACGTTTACACATTTAACTCAATTTTATTAACTACAAAGGTTTATTTGAAGCTAAAAAAGTAGTGCTTGTGCAACTAGGAGCTAACCCAAGGCCCAACTGCTAACCTTAATCAGTAATAAAGCTAAAAAATTCATCTCAATCTCAATCCTTTTTACCTTGTGCTTTAATTTGTTCAGCTTAAAACACCACCTGGTTGTGCTTCACTGTCTTAAAGTAATGACATAAGTGTGTCATTACTGATATATCACTTACAGACCAAAGCAGAAGTTCTAATCATAACATTGCCCAAATAATAAGGATAAGTTTACTATGAATTTAGGAAAAATCAATCTTGGTTATTTTTCTATAGTTGTCAGTGTTTTATTTGACTTTTATTGGCATTTTCATTTTAGTGAATGCTGCTAGTGACCAATCAAAATTAGCATCGAGTCATTACTTACGTAGAAAGGCTTATTTCCCTTAAAAGAAAATCCTCTGTAAAAATAACTGCAACATTTGGCCTATATTAATTTTATTTTTTTACACTACTTTTTGATTTTTAAAAAGTCTTGACAAATGTCATGAGTTCAGAGCTTTCAAAGTTCCTGACTGTCAATGTAGGTACAGGTTCTTTTGTCTCTGATCTCCTTACTGAGATTATTACTGTCGCAAACCAAAACCTGGCTGATCTTCGCATGGAAAACCTTTGGGTGCACTCCTGTGTGGGTGCATATGCCAGTTCCTCTCTGTTGCCAGAGCACATCACCCCCTTGTTTTGCCCTGGACCCATCAGTGTTGCAACATCACTAGCAGGGATGGGCCATTTTCATCCAAGCCATTTCCTCTTGTTGGTACATACCTTTGCTTGTCAAAGGAGCATTTTTTGGACTTATGATCTAACAGCACATTAAAAAATTAACTCTTTAGGCTCTAAGTCTGATATGATGATTTAAAATGACACTTGACAACTATTTATGTAAGTGAACCTCGACAAAACAACTTAAAGCTGACTCCTGACGGGTCCGCGGAATTGGCTAACTCTGGAACTCGCTAACCCCATGTTAAATGCCCTATCTTAAAATTTGGTCGATGAGAGGAACTCGCTAACTTGTTCGGTTTCGGAATTGGCTAACTCCGGAACCCGCTAACCCGCTCTAGAGCCGGGTTAGCGAATTCCGTCCTCGTACGGAATTCGCTAACTCGGTCCCTCGGCGGAACTCGCTAACTCCCAATCAGAAGCCTCGCGGGCCGTCCAATGGGAGCCAAGCACGAATATTTTTGGCCAGTGTTGCCGAAAGTGTAGTACCTATATCGTATCGGCACCATAATGTCGTATCCTACGCTTAATTAGGAGTAAGAGCAACGTAGTCGATAAAATAAATATATTTTGAAGTATGTTTAACCACAGAGAAGTTCTTATGATTATTAGGGTGGAAAATGCATTATAGTCTTACCATAGACTAACCAACACAAGTAAACTTTACATCCCATTGTACACTTTGAAGCTCGTTTTTCGTGTCTAGTTCATGTCCGGTGACACTGATCGCTAGTGTCGACAAAATTGTGTTTCTATTATTTTATAGTTAACTTCATGATTTGTTCCTTACTGTTTGGTTATATAACTAGGGGACGTGTTATTAGTTGTGATTAGAACGTTTTATTTTATTTGGTTAAACGAGGTTTTAAATTACTGAAAATAAGAAACAATTGTAAACAAAACACGACCTCTAAAGACAGTACACCGGACAGAACTAACAATATAACTGTCTTCAGATCATCCATAAGGATGAGAAATGTACTAATATAAGGGAGTATGTTTTATATGTGGGTTTCTTACTTAAATAGTAGCTTATTGGTATGAAAAAGATAAAAATGCACATTTAATTTGGATCTATTACATGTTATGAAATATCTATTTTCGTAGTCCGCCATTTGTTTCTTTTATTCGAATAAATACCATTTTGTGAACTTCTGCAAATACAATTTTTGAGTTCGTATTTTATATACTGGGCTTGTAGTAACCTTAAATCATAAATCATAGTAAAATTTACACGTTAAACGTCATTACAGAATTACATTGTAGTGGTTATGTATTTTTAAATAGAGCTATTGAATTTAAATAAATATTTATCAATACATTATAAAGTGGTAGGCCTAATGTATTCATGGATTGCATTAAAAGTTAGTCTATGCATAAATACAACGTGTAAATTTCTTTTATCGTATTCTATTAGTGTAGAACCCGGGTCATCCTCTTAATTTTGTTGAATTAATATTAATTTTACGTCTTTCAGTAGGCTTACTTTTTAAAAGTCTGGAGTTTTTTTCCAGGCTGATTCTATCTTATCCAAAAACAAAGCTATTGTCTATTGTGTAGCTCAGTACTGGGGAACGGTGAACCGAGCAATGGCTTGGTATAGTTTATATCGTTTGTGAAAGCAATATAAAGGAAACCCAACACTCAAATCAGGAAAATCCGTCAATTAGTTTATTAAAAATCGTGAATTAAAATAACCCTGTCACGTTTTATTATATGAATATTATATCTTCTCCTATTTTTTACTAGTGGTGCTTAGGTGTACAATCTAAAAACTGTTTTAAAACATGTAACATTATTGCTAAAAAATTCAAAACATTTTAGAATTAGGCAACTATTTACTAGTAGGCCTACAATGCTTTGGTTCAAACTATTAGGCCTAGATAAAAACTTAGTCTATGTCATCATATTTGTACACGTAAGTTGGACGGTTCAACGACGAACATTTAATTTAAAATCTATGAATTAATTATGAAAGTTACGATGGTTGATGACTGTATTAATTAATGGTTTTGGTTTATTACGACATTACAATTAAATCTGTTTTCCGTGTTTAAGAACTTGCGTGTATTTTAGCTTATTTTCGTAGAGGTTTAATTATTTATTACCAATTAAACTAAATTTGGAATATTTTTCATATTCTATTATTTTATTTTATACTGATGGCATGTATATTTAAGATCGAAATCATAAACATTTAACTGGCCATTGTACAGTTTAATAAAAAACACTTTTTCATGATTTTTTAATTGTCTTTTAATTACTTTGGGCTAGTTATCTGTTAAAAGTGGAATTGATAACAAAAAAAAAATAACATTTACTGTATCTTTATAGACACTGACATTTTGAAATACGGCAGTGTACGATTATTTTGTCGTACAAGGTTGGCAACGCTCCGAGCAGTGGGCGCGACCGGGTTAGCAACTTCCAGAGTTAGCGAATTCCGCCGCGAGACAAAATCGAGTTAGCGGGTTCCGGAGTTAGCCAATTCCTGACTGAGACGGTTAGCCAGTTCCAGAGTTAGCCAGTTCCGCCACACGACCGAGTTAGCGAGTTCCTGAGTTAGCCAATTCCTACGTCTCCTCCTGACATGTAGTACAGCCAGGGAAACTGTTTATTATTCAATAGTTGGGATTTTTATTTATTTTGTAGCTCTTTAGACTCTTAATTATTGTTTGAGAACAATGTGCTATGCTGTTTTTAACTATTAGATTGTAGTTTACCATAGTTCAAGAATTTAACCATCTGGGCGGATACAATTTTTTTCTAAATCCTCATACATCAAAGATTTAATTTACTTGACTCTTAACCAATAACATTTTTTATATAGGTTCAAGTATCGTAAGTTTAAGTTCATTGAACACAGAGGCTATCTACTGCAATATTAGAACCTTTTTTCGTTGGAATATATTTTCAAATAATATTTATTGAATTCTTACAGTTAGAAAAATCTAGGAGGAATTCCAAGAAAGGCTATTAAAAATACAGTAAATAAATAATATGTTTTATTTCCTTTTATTAAGGTCAGATAAATATAAAAATAACAAAAATGGCAACATAATCTAACAGTACACCAGAAACATGTATATCGTTAACAATAGCAATTATTAGTTCCTATATTTTTTTTTTCGGTAGAAATCAATTTCATAACCAAACTGTAGAATATTATTGCGTTTATTATTTCCATTATAACATAGACTACCGAAAATATTTCTTAAAACAACCTATCAGTCTTATAATGTTGCTTGATACTCACGTAAATATTCAACGAAACAATAGTGAAATGATTGAGCTACATCGTGTCTAAACATGCAGACGTAAGACGTACATCCAAGGGGAACATTGTAAGCGTATACATTGGACACGAGACTGCAGACTGCAATATATCACTTACACTCTGGTTATCACGATGAGTGTTGCGACCGAGGAAACTTACATCTCACCTTCAGAAACTGAGGAGAAACAGCTGTTGCACGATATGGGAAACAATCACAAATATTTAGTAGATTACTCTCAATATAATGACTGTTAGTTAACAAAAGGTAGATTTCAAGCTCAGTTGTGTGTGGTAAGACATATCATCTGTTTGGAAGCTCTAAAATTCAAATTATTCGAAGCAAAATGAGCTGTCAGATTACTAAATCCATACAAGAGATCTAATTAGATAAGCAGTCAAATGGGTTGAGTTGGCAAACTAAACTTTTTAGCAATATATACTAATTTTATTTTTCATGGAAAAAATACATACGAATCTCACTGAGAAGTTTGAAAGGTAAGACATAATACAAATTCGTTTTCACATCAGTTTCTGAAGACAAGAAAGAAGTTATCGTTAAAAAATCCATGCAGTCAACATAAATTTATAAAAAATACAACATCTTGATGTGTTTGGTCGGGATAGAAGGCAGATTGGAGTGAAGATATGTGGGAGCCGCCGTCACATTGTCACTCTCAACTGAGGGTTTGTCTGAGAACTCGACTCAGCTAACATGCTCAAGTCAAACTTTGATTACTTTTTATTTTGCGTCTTTTTTCTCGTTGGTGTTCAAGCCAGTCGTTTGGTGAGAAAGCAGAAACAGTACATACCCTCAAATCTTGTGGAATGGTGGTGTGAAACTGTCATTCTTGCATAGAGGTCCGAGACACTGGCCAGATACGCATACAATCTTTCAAAGCGATATATATTGCACAGTTAAACGTTTCGCAAGAGACTACTAAAACCAGGTATTATTATTACCTGACATTCACACTTTGGAAAGCATCCATAATAAACAGCCAAGTAAAAAATGAAACGGTCAGCCTATTCCACAAAATTAAAACGAGAATATTCAAATTTGAATGTGTACTGAAACCACTCTGCTGAGTAATACTGATTGTAAAATGTATTGAAAAATATTTACATTTTATAGACCTCATAAACTATCAAAAGACACCCAAGATTCTCCTAAATATTTTAAATTTTTGGGGAAAAAGAAAAAAAAATGTAAGACGCAAAATAATTTACCAACAACAATTAAAACTGTTAAAGAAGGTTAAAATTTAAAAAAGGTTGAAAAATTACATTATCCAACTACTTTTAGCGATGATACAATTTTTTTTTTATTTGCTTGTGTACAATGAATTGAGTTCATAGACAAACCCACACAACCAATTTACACCTTTGATTTTTCATCTCTTAATTTTTGAAACTATAACAGCTGTGGTGATGTAGCATTCACCCACACAATACGATCTTCATGATCTGTTAACCTGTGTATGTAGCACAAATACTTTTAGAGTACCTATGTTCAAGAACCACAATATTGTTCAATACTGAATACATGGTGATAACTACCTACATTACATTACAAGATCTACAGTATATTAGATAACTACAGTAAAACAAACTAAAAGAACACCAATGGAGACCCTGTGTGATTAAATGATCAAGAAACATTTGAAAACAACAAATTTAGTTTGCATGTTGAACAAAATCTATAAGTATAAAAGTTTATACTGAAAAGGTAAACTTGAAAATTAACAGTTTTTATTTTACGATAAGTATTATATTTTGACAGTTAAACTCTGAATCTTAAATATTTTACAATAGGCCAAGATCAAGTAATATTTTTTTGTCAAAATCAAGTTCAAACTATATTACTCAGGCCTAGAGATACAAATTACTGTTTTCAGATTATCAGTATGTGGCAATTAATCTAATTGAATAAAATTCTTAGACTAAACATTTCAAGATAAATAAATTAAATTTTCCTTTCATTATTTGTTCCCTTTTGTAACTGAACACAAACTAATGATCTGGTAGCATTTGATATAGGCTGATTTACAGTTTCGAGTTTTGTTTACATAACTTCCAGTAAATCCTTATCAATTTAAAATAACCCTTAGCAGTATTTTTTCTTAGAGATGTTCGTTACAAGTTTGCGTTTCAAACAAAATAATACATCAGATCCAAAAATGGTTTAGAACCAAAACTAAATATTAGGAAACAGAAACAATAGATTTTAGTGCTATCCTGTAATCCAATGTTCTATAACTTTGCCACAGAACCATTGTTTTTAAACCTTTGGAAAGATACAATGAATTTACCAAATTCAAATTGGGTACCTTTCAGGTAGAAAGAATCAATTCTTGTTATTTCAATACAATAGTTTGAGTAAATGATTATAAACCACTGATTATAAAGAACTGACTAGATACACATATAAATTCTTGATCTTTAGGAGTGTGTGGAAGCTTTGAACTGAGATATTTTGAGACATCTGTTTTGTTTGAGACTTATTTGGAAAAAGTGTCCAATGTTTGAGCCAAAATATCTGAGTAGGCTTACTAACGAACATAATATTTGCACTAATATGTTAATGCCATGAAGAAAACTAGTATTTTAATGCTAATATTTTAATTCCATAATATTGAACCATAAAGAACCTCAAGCAGTACTTCTCATAGTTTAGTAATGAATCTATTGTCATTTTATGACATCTTAGATCAAATACAAAAATCGCTGTTCACACACCCCTATTAATTTGTTACTTGCTTATAAATTACTTTTAATTTTATTTGTTCAAAATGAAATAACAATACCATAACTTCAATATACAAAATAGTCAACACAGAATAAAATAAAGCATAGACAACTCACTTATCTAAAATATCTAAAAATCAAAAGTGAAAAATATGTAAAATAAAAAGTATACCATACCTATTTACAATTGGTTTTTGAGGTTAAAGCATTACAATTTTAATAACAAAAACGCTCTTAACTAATGAGATAAAAATACATAAAGAAATTTGTACATTATCAAAACCTATGGTATGACCAGCAAAACAAATTATTTTAGAAAATACTGATAATTCAAAAAATGAAATGAGTTTTTAGAAGTGAAATAACACTATACAAAATGTTAAAGTATTCAATAACACCATTATAATGATGATAATAAATATTAAAATATTTGGAAACATAAAAAAATTACCCATGCAGGGGATGGATGTATTATAACAGTGACACATAATTCATATAGGGCTAGTCATGATCATAAAAATATAATAAAATGTAAGTTGACAGTTAAGGTATGTACTGAGTGTAAAATTAACGTATGTATATATATGGATTTAAAGATAATGTACTCTTCATGGGTTTTAAAATTATATTTTTTATAAATGTTGGATTGTGGTAAAAGTAAGCAGAAATTATTATTAACCATATTAGACTTTACATGTAGCATCGGTTTATGAATAGCCCAATATACCTTTTGTAACATTTTGTCCACAAAAGTTTATTTAGTTTAAAAGTGTTAATATTGTTATTGCCTTTGTAGCATTTCCCCGCCATAAAACATTATTGCTTTTAAAATGTCTTGAGTTTAACGATACAAAATCTATACTAACCACAGGGTGTACCAGACAAAATTACAAGAAAATATCTGTGAAAACCCCACACACAGATTTGTTTTGCCAGTCTAGCGTACAATCTAGTATTTCCGACTTTTAAGGAGCCACGTAAATATTTAGAATTTGGCTCCCACGTTACCTTCCAGACATTCTCGTACAATGTAACAGCTTCGGAAACGTTATAAAAGGTGACAGCACATATAAAACACACTTAAGTAGATCGAAGAGACAATTGGCAAGAAGACATATAGTCACTTAAAAATAATACAAAATGTCATTTTATATCACTAAAATTCACGTCCAAAAGTATACCTGAGGTCCCGTAGTTGCAAAACCTCTTCTAGGAGACGCCGGGAAACGCAGCACTGAACACTCCTGGTGACAAACACGGGAAATCATTCTCCTGCGTTATACAAATACCGTATCATAAATGGCAGTTGTAGTGAAAGCTATACAAACATCTGACAATATAGAGAAGAGAACCACTCGGTCCCTCGCCTCACTCACATGAATGCATAAGGTTTGTCTGTAAACCAAGGTCTATATCGAGTTACTGTTCCCGCTTAGCAAGCTGGATTTTGATATAAAGATCAAAATCAAAATCTCAGATTTTTCTGAGACCACCGTTACATTTTTTAATTTATCCAATACCATTCTAGGAGAAGCCCACCCCTGTAGGATGATTAATCTTGTCAATGTCGTAAAAAATATTGTCAAAGCCATTTGACACTCCCGCCTTTTAATACAAAAACAAAAACTGTCACTGACAAAAGCCCTCAGGCAAAAGCAACTAAGTGGACACGTCTGAGCAGTGAGCCGCGTAAAATCTATTAAAATCTAATTGGTTTCCAAGACTAAGAATAAGATTGTTGGTAAACTGCCACCATGTGATAAATAAATGTAAATAAATTGCTGTAACTTGTTTGGTCAAGTGTTTTTTGCTAAAGGAATTGTGTTTTTTTATTGTATCTGGTATCTTGATTTGTTTGACTTAAACTTCATTCATGCACGTTAAGACTGAAAATTGAAAATCTTTCAATCATTTGTTCAACATTCTAAAAGCAAAAGTTATGTATTTATAGTGAAGGGGTAGCATCTAGATCATCTAAGAGGAAATACAGGTAGGCCATAGAACCCAAAGAAGACACAAAAACCACCAATAATTTGTCTCCCTGGGGGGCCTTTTCAAGTGTAGGCAGAGAGAGGTATAGTCTTAGCATTTTGCGAGTGTCCCTGGATGCCAGGTCAGTTCCGCTCTCACGCACGCACACTCACCCTCACGAGCAGAGAGGATTAGGACCGACCCTAGACCGGCCGTACTTTCCCTTCATTAGTTCTTTTAGACATCACTTGTAATCAAAATGTAACTTTAAAAAATGTAATTTTAAATATAAACTGTTTATACATTTATATTCCCCTGAAAATTACAATAAAAATGATACCAAACAACCCATGATTTGCATAAAAATGCCTTCACATGACATAACTGCAATATATTTCAGGTTTTATAAAGGCACATTGTGTTTGGTATCAATGTTCTCGTGTTGATGAGCAGAATCGATCACTGTTGACTATTTTAAGTTTAACATTTAAGTTAACAAATTATACATTTGATAAAGAAATTGCCATTTGTGACTAATTAACGGAGCGCGGGACAGTATGGGGCCGGTCCTAATCCCCTGTGCTTGTGTGTGTGAGGACTGAGTGTGTGTGCGTGAGCCTACCTGGCGTTCAGGGACACTCCCGAATTGCTAAAGGTATAAAAGAAGTTGTGAAATATCTTTTCCTTCACTTGAAAAAGCTCTTAATGGGATAATATATTGTTTGTTTTATGGTATACCTGTATTTTTTTCTATGGTAAGCTAGCTGCTATCACTTTATTCTACAAATCAAAATCCTGGGTAGTCTTTACTTGAACAAAGCTAGTCGACAGTTAATCACACTCCTTACCAGAGTATGACAGCACCTCGATCGGCAGTGAACCCCGGCGTCGGGTCAAAGCAGGGTCGAGACGTCGGATAAACGTCTCCGGACCTCCAGAGCTACGACGACGCAGCTTCTTCGACCTTCCACTGCGACTCTTCCCATTCAGAGAACCTCTGCGCTCGTCCAACTTCATCCTCCATTCCACCTCTTCCTCTGGACAGTTCATGAGTTGGTTTAAAAACACTCTATTGGCACAAACAAAAATGTGTAGAGTCACATGGTGGTGTTATTTAGTTTTTGTCTATTTCACTCACAGATTCATGAACATATATTCATATATAGTATGCAAAAACAAGGAACAATGGTTATAAAAACCACAAATATTTTGTGATAAGTACCTAACAAGTGTGCTTTCATTTTTAAGAACATTGTCTTTTTTTTGTAAAAAGTTTTACAAAGGAATACTATCATTACAAGGTTACACTTGAAACTGAAAGAACCTTAGATTTGGAAACTATCTTAAAGTTTACATACAACATACAATCATTTTAAAATAAATAAAGTTCAGCTCTTAATTTGTTGTATGTTGGTTAGTTAATAAGAGTGAAAATCAAAAATTTATCCCATCCGAAGGGGATTTTAGGATTCAAAAATGTGTTTTCATCTTTTTCATAAAGATCAGAAAACAGAAATCTTGCTTTCACAACCTGGTTAGTCTGATAGGATCACACAATGTTGTAAATACTTTATAAAAAATCTTAAACAAGTTTCACCATGGGCTTCTGTAATGATGTAAATAATTTGGCAGTTTTCTGAAGACAAAATTGTTAATTCTACTTACTCTTTACTCATAGAGCGCAAGATATTTTAATTGTTGTAGTAAAATTTCACAGTTGTGTGTTTTTATGACTTTGACAAGGTGGTACCATAAACAGTTTGTTAAAACACTGGTTAAAAAGGAACATTTTAAATTCAATTGACATTGCTGCTATAAACGATTGTAGGAGGTAAAAAAGGTCTAAACCAAAAATATCACTTAAATGTTTTCGGGTTTTGTTCTAACAAACTCTTCTCTACTACCTAAAAACTAAAGCTAAAAATTTTATATGTTAAATAAAACCTAAAATCACTAAAAATATCTACTAAGAAACAAATCGAGAGGTTTTTATCCTGGTCGGAACAAGCATTTAGAACAAAAAATACCAGATAACTTAGAAAGCAAACATAGCAATGCACGGTAAATACGTAACGAAAATAGCAAAGTGAATAAAAACACAAGCTTATCTAATTTACTCAAAATGCATTGCAATACAGAGAAATAAAATATATGGGTGGTAACAAACAAGAATTAATCAAATAAACTAAAAATAACATCGCTTGCGTAGCTAATAGCTGTAGATATTTCTAGTGATGATATGAAAGATGTGATAGGTCAATGAATGTGTAGCATTGAACTATCACGTGATGAGATAAGAGACTGATGTACCTGAGGGGAGGGGAAGTGACGCTCGTCGAGGCATGCTGAGCCACGCTGCATTCTGGGGTTTCAAAACACCTGCATTACACCAAGCAGTGGTATTAGTGACAAGCTTAAGCTATGCAAGCAGTGCACAGTGAAGTGCGTAACCTACCTGCGGCGCTCAACCGTCGTCCGCTACAACATAACCTCAAACTGAACTTGCTCATCTTTACCAAGTAATGGTAAGAAAGGTTCTGCGACTGAAAACTTTTATATCACACATAACCTCAAACTAAACTTGCTCATCAATGTTAAGAAATGTTGCTGAAAGTTTTGAGGTTAAAAATATACACCAATTAAGGTTCAAGTTACCTGTGTTATTGTTTTTTCCTTTATCTTGTAGGCCTACTGTAATCCACACTAGAATTAAACAACCAGAATTGATGGATTGGGCAACCAGAATTAAAATGTTTTGTTTATGTTTGTGGCAGGTGATAGTATTAAAAACTTCCAATGAACTGCATTGTGAGGGGTGTTAAATCATGCAGTTTTGAACTGAACATGTACTCAATTTTATGTGGCATGAAAAAACAGTAGTTACAATTGCATTAAACTTCAATGGTTCACTCAGACAATAACTTATGTAACTTAAACCTTTATTAGTCCACTCTGACAATCAAGAAACAAATCCATTATAAAATATATAGGCCTAATGGTTTCGATTTTAAAGCCCTTGCTGGTTTAGTTCATACTGGTTAGTTGTACAAAAACTTTTACCGTATAGAAGTTAAATGATATTCAAACAGATAACAAGAAATAAAAGGTACAATCACTGTTTTATTAGTCTTAACTTGTTGCATATTATCAAACAAAACTTAAAATCATGAAAAGTCATACTATAATTTAGAAAGTCTATAAAAACATTTTGCATAACCACCTCCAAAGTAAACCACCTGCAGCCTATTTGAGTTATTTTTGTTTCAAAACATCTTTAGATAGCATATTGCACAGGATTTATTTGAGCATGGAATCGTTAATTTGTAAGCATAAGTGATTTAAGAATATCCCTATTGTACCATCTGTTTTAGGCGGTTTACGATATTTTTAATAGCATAACGAATTAGTGACAGGCAATAGCCTGCCGGCTACCAATATTTTAAAGAATCACCAATTTGTATTTAATTCAGGCAAATGTTTAAACCTCGATTGGAATTGGTCAAGCTAGAAGACAAATCACATGTTTGTGCAAACAATTCCAGCTTGCATATGGATTCATATAACTTGAGATTTTCAAGTTTACTAAACTCACTTCTCCCAGCCCCAGGTAATTAGAAAATTGCAATCCCTCAAATACAAAATATAACAGTAGAAGCATCACATTTTGAGAAAATCAATCTGTATTTCATCTGTAAATTGTTTTTTTTTTTCTGACAAAACAAACATATTGCAGCAGAGCTAGCAGTTATACCAGCAGTGCAGTTTTTTGTGAATAGGGTAGGTATACACTGTTGGTCTTGTTCTCATCTACTACTCATACTGTTACAGTAGGTATCATGGTTTGGACCGGGCAACATAGATGCTATGCTGTGTGTGCTTACTATAAGAAAACAGTAGGTCGGTGAATGAGATGCAAACACTTTTTGATGGATTTTTTTCATCCCGCTCAACGCAAACACTATGCAATCGTGAGTTAAATAGTTTGAAGCAAGTGGCAACTGTATATAAACAGAAACACGAACGATGTAGATCAGCGAGACTACTGTAAAATGTTATGTTGACACTAGTCAGCGTTGTTGCGTGTAATAAAAACCACTGCACCAGAGAAAAGGTTTTCTCATCACAATAATTGAATTGACTTGCATTTGAAATACACACACAGCCATAACCTGGATGCTGTCCAGTCTAAACTAAGCTAGCAGCTGAAAAGGTATGAATGGCTGGTGAAAACAAGACTAACAACGACTGCCTACTCCAACATAGACGGAGTACTACTTTAGTAAAACTGCTTAATCCACTCTTCCCCAACATGTTGAGTAGCAACAATCTTCTTTGAATATATTCTTAGAATTTTTTATATGTAACTGAAGTACATTTAGTTAAAGGTATTGTTTATTTTGAGAAGTAAACATTCATGATTATGATCTTTGTTTCATTCTATGGTTGGCCATTAATTGTTTTGTAAGATTATGTCTTCTAAGCCAATTTTAGAAAAGGAATTTTGAAGATTTTTTTTAAGTGTTAAGAAGTGATTTCCTAGATTAAACAGAGACAAAAATGTTAAGGAACTTGTCAACAATTTTGTAAATCTAAAATATTAGCAAACAAAATGATATAGTTTAACAAATATATCCAGCAAAGGAAATCTTACAGAATTATTTTGTAACCACAAACATTTTCCCACCTAAAACAATCCAAAATTTAATGAAACTTTAATAATTCTCTGCCAGTTACGCAAGTACTACTTATGAAACACGGGTAATGATTTAACTCACTGTGAATGACACGTAGACACACTTAATAAATATATTTATACAAATATACATCGATTGAAATGTGCACATATTGGCAAAATATACTCAAATTACAATCGTTCTGTAACAAGACAGCAGTCCATTGTTGTTCAACTTTAGGCAGCACAACCGTAATGAGAAAGACGACACAGAAATACTCTGAGAAAAATGATTTGATCTTGGACAATACTGATGAATAGACAAACGTCAACGTCAACGTCACTAAGCACAGTTTAGTTGACACTCGGGTAGAATGTGGCGCAAAGGCCGACTAGAGAGAGAGCATCGTCTACCTGGGTGAGGCAGTAGGCTGGCACCAGTAGTTGGCATGGAGCCGCGACGGTCACTGATGGCGCGAGACTGAACCTCCTCCAGCCGCAGCAGACCTACAGGGGCCGACCCGCGCCGACGCGCCAAGCCCTGCAAATGGTTAGTGTAGTTTAGAGGAATGTTGTGGACTTTCAATAACTATTATGATTAATAAGAGTTCATATTCTCCGATGAAATTTAAACAAAACTTTTGAAAATTGTTGACCCGCTATGATTCTTTAGTAGCTCATACACCATGTTTTAACTCAAATACATTCTGGTATAAAAAAGTACTTTAGCCATTGTAATGATTTAAAATGTTATGCAGCTATTTTTATCATTATCAGTAAAAATGAATTGCACTAGGCCTACTTCAGTTTTTTTATCAGGGTATGTCACATTAGAAAGCCATTTAAGCTTTAGTATGAGATTATATACCTCAAACATCGAATGAAAAAACAGGTTAAGTTAATACATGTAATGAATATCAACTACTTCATTGCAGAAATATATTGCCTGTTATTAGGTGGTTAGATGGTGGTTTGGTGGTAGGTGGTTGGATTGACGTGGGCTTTCTAATAATTTTGGAGATTTTAAGAACTACTGCAAACATTTTTATTATATCTGAAAGGCTTGAAATGAGAGTCGAAAAACTGTGATGAAAGTTTAAAAGATGAAGATTAGAGTATAAAACATTTAAATAATCAAAAATTTCAAACCTGAGGAATATTCCTCCTCGACTTCAAAGACCCAATCTCCGTATCCAGCTCGTGTGGGTCCACATTTTCCTTTTCCCTCACCAGTTTTGCCATTTTCACCACCTTCTCACCACTAGAGTCGTCACTAGAGTCGCGTTTCAAGTCACCACCTGTCCTGGACCGGTCACTGGTCGACGACGAGGACGAGGATGTCTCCGCATTGAGCTCGCCCGTGGTCGACATGTAGCGCATGCGGACGTACGGCTGCAGTGGGGGGAAGGTTTGTTGTCGCGTGAGCCGAGACGGTGGTGCTAATGTAGTACCGTGCAGTACACTAGACAGCCGAGACGCTTCCATACTGGTGGTAATACTGGTGATGCTAAGGTCGGGCAGTAAGTTCTCCGCACTCACAGGACGTTCTTCGCCACTGTTACCCTCAGAGCTACGTAGCAGCCCCGTGCTGCTGGTAGACGACACCAACGACAACTGCAGCTCTTCGTCTTCCTCCTCCAACTGTAGCACAGGTCCCAAGGTGAAGCGTCGTCTGTTGTCCACCACCGGGAGACTTTCCCGACGAATCACAGTGATCGGCAGTCCCGGCGGCCTGGTTAGACTGATCGGCACAGAGTGTCTCCTTCCGACCTGTAATTGACGTTACGTTAAGAACAGTGCTTACATTTTAAGCAGGAAAAGACTGGCCGAGACAGTTAATTTTTTACTCTTTGTTGCCATAAATGAAAGGTTTGTTTACATCATTTGTGGAATTCACAATACTTTCAGGACCTAATTGGAAACTCCCAATCTGAAAACAGGGCTGTGAGGCATGGATCTAGAAATTATCTGGATAAAATTTGTCAATTCAATTCCGCCTTTGCCATGATCAGCTATGAAGCTCATTTTGACGACAGGGTCACACAGGGGATCTACAATTTAGAGATCCATGACAAAAGTTTTGCCACTGAGTAGGTAATCTAATTCCTCAAGAAGGTCATGATCCTGAATACGCTAAGATCTATAAGTACAACGTTGGCACTGGAACCCAACAGCGCATGTAAAACTATTAAAAAATAAATAAATAAATAAATATGCGGGAAATAGGGTCAAAATGCCAACCCATTTGCCCAATCTTCTAAAACTGTGTCAGAAATTTGTAGGGACAAGAGCTGCGAAGAGTCAAGTTAGATTCTTATGTGCATAGTAAGAGACAAAAGAATTGACTTCCCTCACTACAATGATGCTACCTGTATAGATGTTGCAGCTATTTAAAGCTGAAAACAGTTATTTTTATTTTCTAAAACTAATAGTTTTAAACGTGAATCCGTACTAGATAAGTCGTTAAATCCACTCTTATGTTTCCAACAGGAGACTTTGGTTGGAGCACCTAATTTAAACACCCCTAAAACAGAACATATCGTAGAAATAATTTAACAATGCTATAGTACATGCCGTACCGGTTGACGTCAAGAGAGGGATTTAGCTTGCTATATTAGGTCTGAAAAGCTCACTTTACAGGTTGACATCTACGTTCTCATAGAAGGCACCTGCCCACAGTACATAAGAGATAACCAAAGCAGTATGAGAGCGGATCTGTATTTAAATATAGTACCGTAAATTACTTTTATATTATTTTTTTACATAATATATTTCACATTTCTAAAATCAGCCATAGAAACTACTTTAGAGTGACTCTGTGATTGAAGTTTTGCTGTTTATGTTTTTTATTCTTAATTGTTTTATTACAAGTTGCAGTTTTGCTCGATTTCCAGCAACAGGTTATATAGTTAAATTAAATACAGAACAAGTAACAGCAAACATATTATAAAAAAATAAAATTACATTCAAGAGTAAATACATTTTTGTATAGTGTTTAATAGACTAAGCAGGTAAAGTAGACTCCTGATCATCTATAACTGGGTTAACCAAAGCAGTGGATTGACCAGAATCACAAAATAAAAAAAAAAAACTTCACTATACAAGTTATATGTACATTATACAGCGATGGCCAAGGTGTGTGAGGAGGCACTTCGTAACACAGACAGACCAATAAAACTACTACTGTCCATTAAAATAAAACAAGAATGTAAAAAATTAGCTGTAGTCTGACATTGACATTCGACACTATTCGTGTATGAACATACAATATGAATACAGATTTTTTATTCTGATTCAGTACTGACCCTGTCGCCGACGTCCACAGGTGTGATGCTGACTGAAGGTCGTCTCATTTCTCTCACCGTCTCCTCCTCCACCACAACCTCATCATCATCAGGAATCTCCTCAGCTTCTGATATTTCTGTACGAGTTTCCTCAGCCAACTCTTGCTGTAGAAGACTCTCCCACTTGGCCTGACACAACACGTAACATATAACAAACTGACAACAACAAGTCAAGAAACAGCGTAAGATAAGTCGATGGGACACCCAAGGACCCTAGTCTAGCACAGTACGGTTTTACACATTACTCCAGACTAGTAATCAATGTCACAGGTATAGGTTATGGCTGTATTGAAATTTAATTATTACCAGAAAGTACAAAAATATGTCAATAAACACTTACACTATTACTGTTTACTCACAAGACGGTAAATACATATAGAAGATGGTAAGTGGTGATGGATTTCGATTGGGCACTCCAATCATCATCAGGCGAATGTCACCTATTGGGTCTAATGATGATTGAAGTGTCCAATTGAAATCAATCCCCACTTACCATCTTTTATACATATTTAGCGTGAGTAAACATTATTAGTGTAAATATATTTATTACAAGTGTTATTTGACATATTTATGTACTTTCAGGTAATTTAGTAGCACACGCACAATGCTGGTCAAGAAGTTATTTAAAATTATTAAGCAAACTTAGAAAACACCAAACATTAGACATACATAGCAAAAGATTATGAATAACTGAAGTGATAAGATAATTTAAAATTTGAAGTATTTCTAGGCTTGACATAAACAGCAAAGTTATATTGTTAACTTAGCCACCAACATTTTTTTTCTTTGGTAGTTTACCTGAATTTAATCTTGATTCTGGCATAATTTAAAAAAATAACATTTTTCATAAATCTGTAGAACTAATAAAAGAGGAGGATAGTTACTGAATTTGACTACAGTAGTAAGAATACTATTCAATTACTAAGATTTACAGAACTGCATCATAATAAACAGTCACTTACTTTATCCTGAAAATCTAAAACTTAAGACAGATGACACGTACAGCGAAGAGGTTTAAAAAGTCCCATAAGGATGTTTAGGAGTTTTATTTCATATTACTTGACCATTCATGCACAGAAGGTGTTGTAATTTTATCAAGACACAATTTATCAAGAAATTTTTGATAATATTAATTTGGTAACAATTTCAGATTTCTAACATTGAAGTATAGGGATGGAAGGGTCTCCAATTTTCAAAAAATTTGCAAGATTAAAATAATCTCTATTTCGAGCAAGATCAACTTGACTCAGAGACTTTTTTGAGACGAGATTATAAAAATACCCCCGCCGCAGCAAACCTGCAGACTAAGCAAATTTCCATTTGGTTGATTGGATTTGGGAAACACTAGAATGTCTCCTTAAAAATATCACATATATTCCCTATTTAAATAGAATCAGTTTAACAAGTACTTAGTTTTGCTGCAACAGGGAAGGTAAAAGTGTTTTTTATGTAAAATGTTAATAGTTAGTAAGAAATTAAAACATTTTCCAAATTTGGGCAAACTATGTTAATAAACAAGCAAACTACAACAGTTTACTTATTCTCCATAAGAATAACGTAGGAATTTTAAATTTACAATTTTTTTGAATTTTCTCCGTAGGCCTAACCATTAGGCGCATTATAACACTTCAATATACTAAATTATTTGTTTTTTTAAGCTCTACAAAATAGTTTGGAAAGAAATTGCAAAACTTTATGTATTTTGGGTCAAAAATGTGAAAAAAATGTTTACCCGATAAAACCCCCATAAAACCCCGTTCCTATGGTCCAATCATGCTGGTTAGCGAACTCATTCCAATAAACATAGGTTTACGTTTACACGTTTGTACCAAATTTAATCAAAATCAGATCATTTTTGCTCAAGTTATCGCGCTAACGGACACACATATATATATATATAAATAAATATATATAGATATATATATGAATCTGAACGTATGGTGTTTTTGGCCTCTAGGGACCTCAAAACGAAAAAAAATCGGTCCCAGGTCCAGGTCTTACCATGAGTACTATGGTAATAGCTTATTCCCTAAATGGGAAATTCGCTAAAAATTAAAATGCCTTTGCAAAGGGAACGCAACATCAATGCGCTCCTGTATTGCGGGTATTGCAGAGACTTTCTGAAGGAGTTTTTTACTGTGTACATCTAAAAAATTGGTAAAAACGGTTTATCTAGTAATTCCTTTATTCGTTATGACCCTGATCCTGTCCATACCGGGTTAGGTTTTACTGTATATGATATCAAATCAAAATCAAGTCAAATCAATTTATTGACCCAAATAAACGTTACATTAGGTGCTTATTGTGCAGTAACTTGTGTCTCGTCAATTACATAAATGTTTAAAATAAAATTGTTATATCATTTTCACCGATATCAGAAGTACAAGCTTCTACAATTATGTTTTCTTCTATAGGCTACGGTTATACTGCTGGCGTCCAGGATGCTAGCATCCCACTTCTAGCCGGAAATTATGTAGTTTGTGTTGGGATGCTAGCCTTTCCGACTGTAATTTATTATCAATGTTTTGTCAGTCGTCAATATTGGCCCCACGAATGATTAGCTGTATGATCTAAAAGTAGTGGTTAGGCCATAAAACAAAACCTAACCTTCTCAAGTGCAGTTTTACTAAAACTGAAATTCTAAGAATTACTTTCTTACAAAAAGTTACGTGACTGGTATATTGCTTCTGATAACGCTAGTAAAACTGCCTCAGTTTAAAACTTCCAGTGCATGAAGGGCCAAGTAGTTAATATCAAATCTTGTGACACCCTTTATAAAATTAAGATGACACTTTTACTGGTGCAATAAAAGTCAAGTACCTGGTTATCCCTAAGATGTTTCATCATGTTTTGAGAAAGTGGAGTCCCAAGGAATCTGTGCCATTCCTCTAACAGTGGCGCCACAACAAATCGAAAAAATCCTGTAAGAAAAACAATCATTACATTTTCACCTAATATAAACTTATAAATTAATGATATTGTCTCAGTAAAATATTGTTTTGAAACAAATAAGAGGCTCAACAATCTAAACAATATAAATTAAGGTCTCACGCTGTGGTTAGTATAGAAACCAAACATCTACGACTGTCAGGATCTAAAAAGGTGGTGTTTGAGTATGACCTCTTGACTATTGATACAACTGGACATTCCATTCCTATGTTATAGTCACCACCAGAGTTTTTATGTAAAAATCGACGTAGTTGATTGTAAATTATGAATTTCTGTAGAATATTCATACTTTTTAACAAAATCAAAATGATAAGGTAACTTATTGTAAGCTATGGCCTCTCAGGTTAACTATTTCAGTAACAAACAATAAGTTAGAACATAGAGTGTTAGATATTAGCACATTCTGTTACCGGCTCTCACTAAACTATGATCTTTTTAATAAAAAATTGGCTACTGCTGTTTAATATAGATAAGATGTCTACTTCAGAACTAAACATCCAATGGTATAACTGTTTATATCTATATGGAACAGCTGTTGCCAATTTTTTTTACTCCAAAATATAATAGCTGAATGAGCCAGTCACACAGTGCACTAGTGTATAAATAGTAGTTGACACAACCATTGTGTAGAGATAGTGTTAACGACACAAGTAGAAAATTTAAGGTAAGAGCCTTAAATTAGTCGTTAACACTATTTACCTAAATTATGAACACTACTTTACCTACGACAGTGTTTTAACTACTAACAATCACTACTCATAACTTCTAAGAGAGGTTATGTTTTCGTTTATAACCTCTCATTGCCACTGACAGTGATACAATGAAACATTGTACCACACACTAATTGCACCACTTAACAATTAAATTGACCTGAACAGTTGATTAGTTGAAGTTAAAATCATTACTTCTTCTCCCTCAATCCTTGAACCTTATTGGTCTGTTACTCGTGTTGTTATGAGTAAAACTATGCTGTTATGAAAGTAAACAATGCTGTTATAAGAAATTTTTCAATTCTAAGAACTAAACTGAAACAATCAATCTTCAAGAAGAACTGGTAATATTGGAATTAATATAAATTTGAAATAAAAACTTCACCAATAAAATTAAAAATTCAGAAATATTGGTGAAGTTTTTATTTTAAATTTATATGAAACGGCCACTTTAAAAAACGGCCGTAGGTAAACCATATTTCTACCATTTTTGTTGGTTAATGGTCGACATCACATAAAAGGAGCTATAGCTTACAGTGAGCAGTCCTAAAGTTTGACTTGGTAAAAAACTCTGCATATTCAACAATAATTTACATCAGCACCATCTGTTGGTGGCTCTATTCAACTACCTACATCCATTATCACTGATAACACAGCATCACTAACATCAGACACTCATATTGTCCTGGCTCATTGATCTTGATCAGTTCAATCAATATTAACATTTTCGATTAACTCAAATCAAACTGAGTGTTTACCGGCTTGTATCTTGGGCACGGAGGTGGTTAGCCTGTCGCACAGAGAGGTGACCGGCAGGTTGAGTTGTCGCTCGTAGTCGCCCTGACGATAAAACTCCTCACACACCTTCTGTGACCACTTCCGGCTCACGTCCCACGGACGACAAGGGTTGGAGATGTCCGCACACTTCAGGGCAATCTGGAGTATGAAGTGTCTAAACTCCTTCTGACTCATGTCTAGCAGGTTTTGGTCCAAGTAGCGCTAAAAACAAGACAACTTGTTGGTGTTTGCTAGAAAATTTAAACCCCTATTATATATGAAAATCTGCTTTAGAAACTAAGTTCCTGGCCAGTTTCGTTCATGTTATACAAGAGAACTAGGTATATACAGAAGCAAAAATGTTTCAATATCTTAAAGCAACGCTGCTACGTCACCGCGAGGCCTAGGTAATCAAAGGTCTCATCATCGATTGATGCAATCAGAATAATTCCCATGTTTCACAACTATGTATTCTATCAAGGGATTAACACTTACAAATTGATTTTTGAATATTGATATTTTTCCACTTCTATCTGAGGTTTAAATTTGATAATAGACACTGTTTTATCAAAATGATTATTTTATGACCATAATTGTAGCGGGGTATATATACATCCAACAATCACTAACAGTGGCGTAGCCAGGATTCTGCTTTGGGGGGGGCCCGATCCGGGGGGTCTGGGGGGAATACCCCCCAGGACCGAAGAGGGGTCCGGGAAAAATTTTGGTATTTTATGGTGCTAAATTGCAGTTTCCAACACCTCTGGAGGCGTAGAGAAAGTAGAGAATAATATTGGTGTATTACTGCAATGACTATTGGATACTGAAGAAGACACTATATGTACCAGCTGCCGTCATTTTTTTAATTATAAAACATTGTACAGAAGACCCTATATAATCGGCACTGTACCACTCCGGCACTCCAGTAATCCGGCGTCTTTTGGCGGGAGGTCTTCCGCGGTCGCGGCAAAATTCTGATTATCTCCCGCGGCCGTGTAGATATCATCATTCTCTCCGGCGGTCATGAAAACGTCATCGTCGTCTTGCGCGATCGTGGCAAAATCATGAACATCTCCCGCGGCCATGTAAACGTCATTGTCTACTCCCGCAGTCACAGAAACGTCATCGTCGACTTGCGCGATCACGGCTAAATCATGAACATCTCCCGCGGTCATGTAGACATTATCGTTGTCTTCCCCGGTCGTGGCAAAATATTGTATCATCTCCCGCGGCCGTGTAAACATCATTGTCTAGTCCCGCGGTCACGGAAACGCCATCGTCGTCTTGTGTGATCGTGGCAAAATCATGAACATCTCCCACGGCCATGTAAACGTCATTGTCTACTCCCGCAGTCACATAAACGTCATCGTCGACTTGCGCGATCACGGCTAAATCATGAACATCTCCCGCGGGCCGCGGTCATGTAGACATTATCGTGGTCTTTCACGGTCGCGGCAAAGATTTTATCATTTCCCGCGGCCATGTAAACATCATTGTCTACTCCCGCAGTCACAGAAACGTCATCGTCGACCTGCGCGATCGCGGCAAAATCATAAACATCTCCCACGGTCACGGAAACGTCATCGTCGTCATGCGCGATCGCGTCAAAATCACGAACATCTCCCGCGGTCACGCGTCATCGTCGTCATGCCCGATCGCGGCAATAGCGGTTTCCGATCGCGCGATCTTCGGAGACGTGTTTTAATTGCATTTTTATGTGTTTTTATTGACAACATTCCAGTAATCCGGCATTTTATATAATAACAACACGTATTGTGTAGTGTGTACGCACTCATTTGACTGTTTCTAGAACGCGCATTGCAACGCTCCCGTGTGCCGTGTGTACAGAGTAACTAAAAAAAAAAAATTTCGGGGGGGGCTCGGCCCCCTTGGGCCCCCTCCCTGGATACGCCACTGATCACTAAGGAATGCATTGATTTTGTTTAGGAAAAACTTTTATTTTCAATAAAACTGTTAAAATGTTAATGGAATAAAAACATATGATAGGAACAACGCATTTTTTACCAAAAGACAAATCAGACTTATCTAATCATAATATAATAAAGATATCGATTCAGATCATTCAATCTAAACACAATTTTCAATAAACAACACAACACATTCTAAAGCACTGAATATTCCACTAATCTTATCTTACTAGATTTACTTCACTCAAGAATATGTAAACAGACTGTGAGAAACAATAACATGAGGATGACTCAGTGGCAGGTTTTGTAAACGACAGATTTTACGAGATCAGTGATGCAATCCTATCAATCAGAAATTTACCAAAGAAAATAAAAAGTTATCACAACAATAATAGGCCTATTGATTAATGGCGCAGAAGTTTTTCACTGTCTGTAAGGTAACTGTTGACGGCCAAGAAACAACTTTAAAATACATAAATGACGTTAACATGATTTGATGTTTACATGCGTCATACACTTGTGACCTTCATATTGAGTTGCATATATATACGGCCAACGCACGCAACTGAATAGCGTCGTTGACTTATATATACGGCCAACGCTTGTACCCTAGCTGTTTTATTGTATATTTCTTTTCATTTTGCCTTCTTTTAGGTTGTTAATAACTTATTTTCTCACTATGTACTATGTTTGTTAATACTGTACTTAACACACACATGCTATGAAATACTTGTAACTGTCTCACAGCAATAGAAATTACTTATATTAGGCCTACTAAAAAACCCTGCATAAAAAACATGCAGTCAAATTTTCTGTATGTTTTAGACAATATCTTATTTTTTAGCACCCTGTAGGATCAGACCTCAGAGACAAATTGAGGAGTGTAGCCGGACGTTCCTGATGTTGCTGCATGCGGTCCACAGACTCCAGCCAGATCGGATGTGATTCCGATTACTGACTAAACTAAGATACTAGTCGCTAAAAGGTTGAGCGATGAAGTCACAAAATCAAGCTGAGCTCTTATTTTCAAAACAGCAGAATGTGTCAAAAAAGATTGCAGAATTATAAGTTTTTGATGTTTCCAAGATTGCAGAACCAAATGATCATGTATCCGGGATACCAAGATGTTGTCTGTCGCTGTGGGAAAGGTCCATGATTGAGAAAGGCTATGATTTCTCCGCAACTGGAAGTGGGGCTTACAATTTTGTCGTGATCGTGGATGTTAATCACGATTTTGCTGCAAATCCAAAGTTACAAAGCATCAGGAATTTTTGTTTCCTCCATCTTGTCAGTATCAAAGGTTTTTTGAAATCAAGAAACAGCCCATCCCTAATTTTTAGGTTTGACCACAAAACTTACAGGGTTTTTTTTTACAGAGACAAAATTTGCAGCTTATTAACGGTTTCAGGGTTCTCACAGTTGTGGAGGTTACCCTGTTAGGTATCCAAATCTCATATTCTACTTCTACTCCAGCAAGTGATCGCTAATGGTTACCCTGAACTTGGTGAGGAACTCCTGTTGTCTGGTGATGTCTGTGGCCAGAATCAGAGAGCTGATCTGCTGCTCCAGTTCCACCTTGACATCTGCCAAGTCCTCCACCAGGTGACTCTCCAACAGACATCCGATGGCTGATCTCCAGTGATGGTTCTCTAACACTGATGTGTTCTGTACAGGCAGACATAATACACATTAAAAATTCTTCATCTCACACTTTGTTTCAGAAATGTGAAATTGAGTTAAGACAGCTGAAAGTTTTGAAAAGTTGACCTCAAGAGGGCGGAACTGAAAATGAAGAGTACACAAGGTTTCAATTTAATAATATTTAGGAGAGCATAATAAGCTCTTAGAACTTCTGCAAATTTGCAAACTGTTTAATTTTTGAAACAGTTTAAAATGCTGAAACTAAAATTGTACTGTGTTTAATAATATAGGTTGAATCAGTCTCAAACAAAGTTTTCAAGAAGTTACAACATATGGCATGGGCTTTTCAGTATGCCGATTAAGTGTTAAACTCACCTTATGATAGAGCAAAAGGAAACATTAGAGAAAAATGTGCCTTTGTTTTGGATATATTCCTGTACAACAATCACTTCTATATAGTTAAGTACAGCACTAATTAAAAGAAAAGTAAACTTAGTAAAAAACACCCCATCAGCTAAACTAATGACGTTTCATCAGAGGGAAAATGCTCCACTATTCAAAAATTTTGGTTTAATTTCCCTACACATAGGCTGAATACCTAACCACAACCAAAATTACTTTAGTTCCACAAAACGTAGAAGTTAACGTGAGTTGATAGCTTCATATAAGTGAGCTGTTTTTATTTCTACTGACATATTTCTGCTGACCAGTTTGAGGTGAATTGTGTCTGAAAGTGTCTTCAAGAAAATATCCTATTGACAAGTAGTTGAAAATGATACTAACCTCGTACAGAGCGGCCAGATGGTTGGAGGTTGCTATGAGGAACGGCTGATTGACCCCAGGGTGGTCCAGATCATGAGTGACTGCGGCTATCAGGGAAGACATGATCTCCAAGGGGGTCAGATGTTTCCGAATCTAAAATCAAATATTTTTACTACAATTTGATTCAAAATAACAATTAAAAAAAGTTCCGGTCTATGTATTATTATAAATCGATCAATCAACCTTTGCAGACAGACACTGGTTGTTTATTTGACGTTGAATGTGAATTTAGGGTGAGGTTTAATGAAGTGAAATGACCAAGGCTTTGTTACTGACTACAATCAGCTGTTTCTTTCACCAGGATCATTTTCGAGAAGCCTAATAAACATGTTTCTTCTCTTGGAGTTTCATGCAACATTTAACCCTTCCCGGACGGGTGACGGATATATCCGTATAAGTCTTTGGTGATAAAGGACGGGTGACGGATATATCCGCATATGGTTTTTGATGCTCCGGACGGGAAACGGTTATATCCGCCTTCAGACTGGCAGGTGCTTGAGCAGTAACCAGATATTTTGCGTAACCAAAATCCTGCTCTTTCCATGACTGCACTCTCCCCTCTCTACCGCACTTACCCCTGTCCTGCATTTAACCCTTCCCCCCCCGCACCTACCCCCACTCCTACGCTCCCCCCCTCGACGTTTCGCGCTCAACATTATGTTGTCTTTATTTATTGTTTACATATTGTTCTTTTTTATTGCCTAACGTTGTCATGGTCCAAAGATGGGTGGTGGATATATCTGCTGCATTTCTACTCATCCGAGGACGGGTAGCGGATATATCCGCATAGTTAAAAACGACTAAACAAATTATTTTGACAGTATGATGTGTTCCACTGTGTTTCTTTTATGTATACTTGTATAACAAAACACAAATTTGAAAAATTTATTTTTATTTTTCCCTCCAATTTTTTTCCGTCTTATGTCATGATTTTGCCCGTCCGGGAAGGGTTAAGATTGTATTAGATTACACTACGCCTGCAAAGGTCAAGGTCAAGGTGATTTTGTATAAAGAAGAGCTTTACAACTGGTTTGATATAAACTCTTCTATAATGCTGTCTGCACACCATTCCCATTGCAGCGTTCCCTATCATTCTACACATAATCCAGTTATATAAGTTGATGAACAATAAAAGTATACATTTTACAAAGGAATTTACTGATACTGTGTTCTAATACACATAATATTGTAAATACATACCTTTTCCTCCTGAAGAAAACAGTGCATTGCTTGTGTTACGTCCGTTGCGTGTATCGAGTTGTGATATGGGTTTGTACTGTGATAACCTTCTTCTACTAAACCTGCGACATAAGGAGTTTTTATAAGCTTTTACCAGAAAAGGATAACAACAATCATGGTTTTACTAATTATTGTAGCCTAATAACAATTAATATAAGAGGCTCCACTTCAACAGTCAATAGAATCATCAAAGTTTATCAAGATCATAGAGTAGCTCTGCAACCTCTTCCGTCATTTTTTTAAAATGTTGTATAGAAGCTCACATAAATGAATATTATTTTAAGTCAACAAACAATAAAAGTCTTTGAACACAGTTTTAAAGACTAAGTTTAAAATGAGGAGGTACTTACTAAATAACTTCCAGACTCTAACAGCGTCTAATCTGAAGTGATCCATCAGGCCGTACCAGTGGAACAAATGAACACACAAAACTGGCAGTGATCTACCTGCAACAGGGACACACAGTTGTAACAACAATAACAGAAACAGTAAAGCATAGCTGTAACAACAACAGTAACAACAATATTACTACACTAGTGATAAACCTCCAAACTCTACATTAATTATATAAGAGTTTTCTGTAAAATAAGTTTTCCAGTAAGCTCCGTCCGAGCCAAGCGAGCTAGTTTGAATCTGAGACCAATTTTGTGTTCCTTACTTCATCCACTACTGTCCAAGCCAGTTCCCACGGTTTTGGTACAATAATAGTCTCGTCATATTATTCGTTTAAGAAATAAATGCTTCCGTCAAGAATCGCATTCTGTGAATAGTTTTCTGTGATCTTAGTAGACAGCCACTACTGAAGTCGATTGCCAGTTGACTTGAATAAAGAGTTAGAAAGGGTGTCTTAAACATGTGTGCAATGTTTTCCAGGGTGTAGGCCGGCTTCTGTTGTTATTTAGTCTCATTTGAAGCAGTGACTAAGGTTAGAAGGATTTAGTATGTGATAGAACGAGAAGATTACTGAACTAATAAGGGAAGTCTCTCCAATTACTGTCTTGATGGAAACTGCTCAACACCTGCTGCCAGCCCCATTGTGCAAATATGTTCAAGCTTCTACAAATCCACAAATGCACAAATTTTGCGTCAAAACACTTGTCTGCATAGACACTGACAACAGAAGTCAACAGAGATTTACCCTCTTCCTTCAGACACCTAAACACAGAATGAGATTCATTATTGGAGGAAGCATCAATTTTCTTTTGCAACGTTTTTGAATACTATGACGAGACCAATCACACCATAGGGGTAGGAATCCTCTAGAATAGTAGTAGTTGAAGTAAGGAACACAACGTTGGTCTCAAAGGCTAGGGTGTTCAATGAAGAACTTAATTGAGCACAACCCTTTTAGATAAGAATAACATGACATCAAACAAGTGTGCATATTTCAAGGTGAAGACAAGGGAAGGGTGATTATTGGATGGATGAGATGACAACTTTGCAAATGACAGCTGGTTCTTTAGTAGAAACCTTTATAGAAATCCCATTGTTAAAAGACAACAATTAATTTAGTTTTGAACCATCAAAAAAGCTACTGACTTTTCTCAGGATCTAACTGAAAAACCTTTTGATTCCACCCAGCTAAGCTTCAATCAATTACTGATATGTTTGTTGTGACCTTTCTTTCCTGTCATTGCACAAAGTCAAATAATCTTCCTCGTGTTAAGAAAAAATAGAGAATTAATGAGGCTATTACGCATGCAGCTCAGGTATGGGGAAACCACACCAGAGCTCTACTGCATGTAAATAGGTATTTGTGAGGCAATATCAACTTGAAACTATGCTCTGTGTGAACATCCAGAAACAAAACTCCTAAAAAATCTTTAGTTTGTACACGTTTATTTGTTTGAATATATGCCTTTACATTTGTATGTATTGTTAACACCTTTAAATTTTTACATGTATTCAAATGGAACATCAAATAAATAAGGATATCATTGTAAGTTGTAAGCTTTTGCAAAAATAAATAAATATCATTGTATTATTAAGTATTCAGTTCTAATATTTTCTTAAAAAATAATGTAAAAACATAAAATCTAGCCTTGGGTCCAAGTAAGAAAAAGTTTAAACTTTTTCAAATTAGAGATTTATATATTTACCAAATTATAGCTATTATCAAAGTAATTACTCTCACTTTTCAATCAACCCTTTAGTTTTCATATTCATTTACTTTTTTGTTGTGAGGTTTATCGAAATTGCGGTAAATTAATGTACAATTTTAATTTATTATTCCAATTAAGTGACTTACCTCCGGTGGCATTGTCCAGGGCAAATGCATTAAACGGCCACTGCCACACCCGATCCAGCATACACTGCAAACATATACAATATATAAGTTAAGTACATTGTAAAACATGCATTGAAATTAATGTGATTAAAACAACTGCTTGTACCTATTGCAAATAAGTCAATACAACCTCCTCGATATAAGATCCAAAGTGTAAAAAATGATTCAATAGTCGGATCTACACATTTGGAGCGAGACAAAGCAGTTCTTAGAGGCAAAGGAATCTCCAGGTTAATGTTATCATTCAGATTTTACTTGTTGGTTGGTTGCCTGAAGGAGTTCTTTAAGGCAGAGAAAGCTCTCGCAAGAGGGATATTTTCTTTTTGGTTTGGGAGATAGTTGAACCTACAGATTAAGGTGGACAGATGGTAGGTATAGTGTGGAAGTTGTCTGTGATGGTCCCATCGAGGTCCAATGCAAACAAACAAGCTAGTTCAAATCTGACATCAACATTGTGTTCCTTACTTCATCCACTATTATTCTAGCTGATTTTGAATACCACGACGAGACTAATCATCCCATAGGGGAGGAAACTGGCTAGATTAGTTGTAGATGAAGTAAGGAAAACGACCTTGGTCACAGATCTCATAAGTGAAGGTTACCATTATATTGACCAAGAATATCTAGGTGTGTTGGTTTTTATGCAAACATTACCTAGGAAGACAGAATGTTGATACTTCTGAAAGTTGAGGTAAGTTTTGTACCTGCACGACCCCGTGGTGAATGTCGTCCAGCAACGCAGGGGTGTCTTGGCTGAGTGACCGAGTGGTGAGCCGCTTCCGTCGCCGCTTGTGCATGGTGAGGAAACGACCGTGGCAGTGACACACCCGAGCCTCTAGACTGTCTATCAACACACAGTCGGACTCTGACAGCTTGTGAGACCTGGCACTCACCGTCCCAACTACTGGGTCTGAAACAGTTTTAAAAGAATATATAATTTTGATGTCTTGAAAATATAAAAATCAAAACATAAAATCACTTTTGGAACATAAGAATGAATGAATGAATGAATGAATGAATTATCTCTTTATTCCAAAAAAGTATTTACAGAATAGGTACACAAATATTTAAAGGAAGAAAAAAACATAAGAGAATTTAAAAGAATAAAATAAAATTAACCTTTGCATTACATCTGTGTTTAAGAAATCGTACATGTTAATAAGGAATAAGCCGACATGGGCAGCGAGCCTGTGCGTCAACTGTAGTTGCGTCCAAACATAACATTATTTATCAAATGCAATAAATAAATAAATGACAGAAGATATGATGAGGTGAAAATATGATGTAAATGGAGTTACAAGAACAAATTGTGAGATGAATACCTATGTGAAAAATATTAGGTGGCATAACTACGTTTAAATAAAAATAATTGAACTGTAATAATAGTGACAGGAATTCTACGGCTTTCAAAGAGTAGAATTCCTGTCACTATTACAGTTCAATAGTGACAGGAATTCTACTCTTTGTAAGATTCTCTCTAAGATTGGTAACTTTAAATGACAAGGTGATTCCGTGCTTCCAATAAAATGTAACTCTTATGAGTTATGTTTTATCACAGAAAACGTACTACTATAACCCAGAATGCCAACCGCATGGTAAAAAGCATTAAGCGTTTTGAGAGAGCTTTGCCTGTCAATCCGTAGGCAGCGCCACCAGCGTTGCCATGCAATAGCATAGCAACGCTGGTGGCGCTGCCTACGGATTGACAGGCAAAGCTCTCTCAAAACGCTTAATGCTTTTTACCATGCGGTTGGCATTCTGGGTTATAGTAGTACGTTTTCTGTTGTTTTATCCAGAAACACAAATACTGACAAAATGCCTTAAAAGAATTTTGTCATAAAAGATAGCAAGATTTTTAAGATAATGCATAAAAAAGATAAACCCCATATTTGAAGTAAGAAAATAAGACAAACTTGAGAGAAAAGTCTTACAGTTTAACCTTTGACATCAGTTGGTCACCAAGGGATACAAAAACACAGAGGAGACACATTTTACTGTCAGTCAAATGTTTAAGGTTAGCGATAGAAGCATGGCAGAGATGTATACAGTTTCATGTAATATAATAATAATAGAACAGTTGTATTCTTAATACTATTAGTAAGTCATGTCTAGCTCTAAGTATTTGCTTTATCTTTTTGAGTATCTGTATTTCAGAATCTGGGTTTTCATTGTTTCCTTCAATGTTCTCATTATTATAGTTACATACTTTTCGTTTTACTTCCTAGATATTGGTGAATTTTGTTTTCTTTGTTGTCTTTTCCACAAAAGTTATTGGACTAAAGGTAAATTTAATTTATAATTCATTTTGTTACCCTTTTAAGAGGAATTGTTGATATTGTAAAGTATTAGTTGAGACTCCCGCCCACACACAGAAGTTTTAATCTTCTTTGGGTGTGTATATTTCTTCGCAAGTTAAAGCAAACTGTTTTTATTTCATTAATTAACAATAAGGCGGGTTACACACCGGTATCGCGGATATGATGTCGCCGATATTTTTCGTGCCCGCGACATGCCCCTCGAAAACCAACCTATGTTATCTTATGGAACACACCAGTGTCGCAGACACGTTGCCCGTGACTCGTGTCGCAGACGCGTGTCTCGAGCGAACCAACCGGTCGGTGTTTGGACAGACATGTCTCGTGTCTCTTGGGCCCGCGCATGCGCAGAACACGTTTCTAGTAGTTTTGGCACTTTTTTACTTACTTTATTGCCTTATGGTGTGGAATGTAGTATTGTGATATTATAATACTTCAATTAACACCATAAGGAAATTACGTAAGTACTGTAATACAATTAATTACAATGTATTTTGGAAAAATTACCATGAAGTTATCTTTAATGTTTTTGTAGAAAGAACAACAGCAACAACATATCATCTTCTTATGACGATGACATTATTTAAACTGATGAATGTTGTGATTCCTTCACTTTCATGTCGCCAGCACGTGCCTCTTCCCATGGTTGCATTTTATTACATGTCGCAGACATCATGTCCGCGACATCTATCATAAAATATAAGTAGTACAGTAATTTTGTTTACCCTGGAACTAGAATTACACATATTTATTCATATAAAATTGATAAGAAGTATCAAGATTATCCATAGTAAAACAACAGTCTATCTTACTATAATACTAGAGCAAGAAAAAATTAATTTCCATTTTTGACCCAATTAACATAAATATGAAAATATTAAATACAAATAAAACCACAAATAGGACCAATAACCTTTGTTTTGGTACAACCCGTGAGTAAATCGGTCCAGTAATATGATCAGGCTAGCTGTCACAAGTTTTGCAAAAGTTTTTTAATATATAAGATATATCGGACAACTGCTGAGACGTTTACTGGTCAGGAGGTATTTCATGATGAAGTGCTTTCAAAGATCAAAACTTTTACAGTAATACATAGACAAGGAGATTGCTAAGGTGGGATGCATCCTTTGATTGAGCGGATTCTGGATAAGTTGTGTATATCCTAATACACAAATACAGACTCTTTACAATGACAAAACCTTTTTCAAGAACTCCCTTCATCACTTACATAAACAGAACAGTGGAGACTAGTGAGGAGTTTATAAAAGTTTAGATTAAGTCTGCAAAGAGCGAACACAGGGGATTGAGAACATTTAGGAAATATAACAAATAGAAACTGCTGAGCCTAATGTAGTAGGGGAACGATTGCTGAAATGAAAGGATATCAATCCAAGATTTAAGAAGTAGAAGACCAATATGTGGGAAAGCAAAATATGTAACAACGAAAAGGGTTATAACGCGAGAAGTAACCAAATCCAACAAAACCCAGCGTATAAATCTATAGAAGAAAGGAAGTAGTTTTTTAGTTCACTCACATAATGTTGAACTATTCATGTTTTCGAACGTCCCGACTAATTGGCAATCTAAGTTAGCTTAAAGTTCCGAATTTCAACCGAGCCAGCCGACAACTTCTTGGCAATCTGGATAATTAATACGAAAGTTTGATGGCAGAAATAGTTCCTAAACTACCTCGAAAAAACCTACGGCGGCAAATGGCGAGGATATCCTACGTACTCCGATTGTGTATAAAACAAATCCGGTGAATCAAGAAAGGTAAAAAGCGATGTGACTGTTTACACACGCACACTCACTTAATCACTTCTACATTAATCCTACATTTGTATCTAGTTAAAAAGTCTTAACTGAATTATTTATTAAGCTAGAGATTATTGACTGTGTTACTGGACTACTTACAAATAATATATACATGTAAAAATTAAATTAGGTACTTGATCACAACAAACTGTCATAGGAGAGCTGAAATTTCACTATTCAAACCAAAAATTAACCAAATAAAAATTTCAAAAATAATCTTATACAATTTAACAATAACCTAAGAAAGCATCAGTTTTTGAACACATTCATTTGTTTGCTAGACTAATCAACTCAAATAATACCTGCGCTCAACGACAATCCCACGTTAACTCACGCAAACTTCACACTTTTCTTTGCACTATCATAAAAACGGAGTGCATAGAAACGTTATCATCTGGCTACGCTGCGCGCGGTACAACTGCACTACTGCACTTGGTGACTAAATCGAGCGTCAGGTGACTCATTCACCTTTCAGAGTCAAATCTGTGTAAGAACAAGACCATTTAACTAGTCATTTACAGTACAATCGGCTCATTGGCTCGACCTTCTCAAGTGACGGTTCCTCGACAGGAAGTACAGAACATCCGCGACTAGTAGATGGACATTTCAGAGGTGATATGCATACAGAACACACATTCTCAAATTATTTTAAAATTAAAATTGTAATGTAAAAATAACAATTAATTGCATACGAAAATTGACAACTGTAAGAATTCGTCGCTGTACAAAGTTGAGTTTACATTTTCAATCTGTAGTTATAACCAAACTGCTGCAAATCACCCTGACAGTACCACAGGCCTGCCTTTGTAGTAGGGACGTGTATATATTAGTTGAATTTTAGTACACAAGTCTTAAAAAACTGTCATCTAATAATCATTTAACACTCAGTTTGGTTCAATACGTAATTTTAATGAGCGTCGAAAATATATCAATACACCACAATAGAAAATGGTCTAAACACGATAAATTACTAAGGTATTAAGACTTTACAGTCATCCTGTAATATTATCCGTTAAACAAGTCTAAAACCACCAGTATTGCAGCATAATAGGCAGTGTGTGGTTTTTTTATGCAATTCAAACTACCGCTAAAGCAAGCGCTACTCTGTTGAGCCAACAATCACGCAGACGCCTAATCAAGTACTTGAGGCTTGAGGCCGGAGGGAGGAAGGGGCAAAGTTTGATCAGATCTAGAGACTAGAGGCACCGTCCACTCCCGCGCGAGCTTTTAGCCAATTGGACATCGCATCGCAGGTAAATAGCTTTCCGTCAAATTGGTCCTTCATGTCAAGACTCAAGAGCATCGATGTGAAGAGTAAAGGTAAAGTATAGGTACTCTAACACAAACTGGACATCAATTAGCATGTCGGTTATAGACAGTTTTAGAATAAACATAACTCAGTTGCGTCGAGTCGCTGAGTCTGTAGGTGCAAAATGAAGATTTATTTCCAAACCACGCAAAACTGTAGAGCCTTCTCGTTCTAAACTTGGCAACTTATGGTTCTACAATTTACCTAAGTACGAACAACTAAGATACTGTATAATAGCAAACTAAGAGGCTAGTTCAGTAATGTCCACTTCAGTGATAAACTGGCAACAGCTACTATGTAGATGGAATGTCCCCTTCCGTATCCAAGGTAAATTTACCAAATCCGTATCAGTTAGGTCATTTACGCTACATGGTAATGAGGTTATTTAGATTCACCCGCGAAGACAGACTAGTGGTTGAGCACTAAAGTTACATACAGTTGTGGTACCACACTACATTCATCATTTTTATATAGACAATAGTATAACACGAGGTAAAAACACAATTAATTTCACAGAGAGTGAATTTGGAGAATCCTTGCCCAAAATCCACATGTTTATGTACAAATACATTCGGGTTTCACCGAAAGTTTCCCTATGACATTTCTGTAAACGGGAAGAAAATGAAAGCCATCTAAGTTTTAGTTTTATTTATTTGCCTATTTTATTTACTTTCTGTATATTTAATAAAACTAGCTAGATCAAGAGGTTAGTTCGTAAGTAGAAAGGCTAATATGATGGAGGTTTTTACTATGGTTTTTACCAAATGTTAAATTCAAACAGCATTACAAACTCAAGCTCTCACGTTTCTACAGCCATATTAATTTGTACTTAGAAGCCTCCAGCCCGTGGTTTTCTTCATCTCCTAATTAACATGATCAACAACTAAATTGCAAAGGTCTGCCGTTGAAAGACTGTCAAGTGACGCTTCAGGCTTCACCTTCCCAGCTCCTGTTTTTATTTACCGCTTAATTATCTCCCAATTGTTGAGGAAACGCGACATTTTCTCAGTCTGCTTTGGTTTCAGTTTGAGATTAAATATACTTTTGAAAAAGGTTTGTGTAAAACGTTTATAAAGATATACGTAACATCTACATAAAGATGTAGATGTTTTGTAACCTATTCAAAAGGCGGCCGTGTTACCAAGATTCAAATTTGTTGTTAACTTAAAGCAGGTTTGTATTTGTCAAAGTATTACAGTCTGGTCACGAACGTTTTTTTAGCTTAATGTATAAATCAGCTGATCAGCAGTTGGCTTTTGTTTCATGAAGTGGAGGGGATGTAATGACATCCGCTCAAAGATATATCTATCTACAACTGTTGTATACTGTTATGCTATGCTATGCCCTAAAACCGCCTACATTTTGTGGAAGGAGTATGCCTGATATGTCCCACGATAGGTTCTGACTTCAGTCATAATAGATGATACTCCTATCACTACTCACAACTAGTCACATACTGTACTAGTTTTAAAATAAAGAGCTTTATCTCTTAATATAAAACGAAAAAATATCATTTGAAACAACGAAACTTAATACGTTTTGAAGAACATAAAAAAACTGTTAATATTTTTATTGAGTTTATAGTTAAAACGTTTGGTACAGTACTTAAAAACTGTAAGAATTATTTCCAAATTACGTTATATTTTCATAAAAGCCTAAATGTTTTTTGCTACTTTGTGAGGGAGTGATTTGAAATTCGTAGTACTGTATACATAATAAATATACTTGAGTTTTACTAACAAGTTATTAAAAATATAAATACTCACCGAAGATAAACATTAAACCGCAAATAACCACGAACATTTTCTCCACTGATGCATGTAGATAGATAAGAATTACATCTACACTGATTAATTACTGATCTATCTGACGATGGATCAGTAGAGTAAGATGTAAAGCTAATTGTATTAATTCATCTTTCTTTGGATCGATTGATGAACGATTCCTCACAAAAACAGGAGAATCAATCAAGTAGCTGGTGAAAAGTAAACGCTGCAAATCCGTAGACGTTGATAAAGTAACGCAGGGCCTCCCTCTCCCTCTGCCTCTGCCGGGGAAATACAATTCCGCTTCCGAGTTTCCGTCGCTATTTTCGTCGAATAACTTACATTCGACAAAATAAGGGCAAGGTTCATTCCGTTACAGGAGTTTTACATTTGTAAAACGGCTCTAGAATCTCTGAGTTTCGTTTTAAAAATGGTTCAAATGCCAAATCCGCCTTAACCATATTTAACTAGTTTACAACTAGTTTCTTATTTTTAGATTTTAACTTATTGGATTGAAGATGAATATTATTTACATCTTGTTTAAAATAAACCCATATATAAAATGGTTTTCATACATTTAAACACATTCAATATATTACTAAAAATGTTAAAACATTACGAAAATGGTAATTTTTTTGAAAAGAAAGAACCACATTTCATTACTATGTTCTTTGCCATTAGGTAGACTGGAGACTGGAGGTTGTACATGAAAAATATTTTACATATGGTACAACACATCTGTACACTACAATAGTACAGAACCTCTACGACAACGCCTATTGTGGGACAAAAATACGATTTCCCCATAGATTATGGGCAGATTTTAGTGTTGATATTGTTATAAACTATTATCAAATAACACTTTGGTAAGTTAACGGGGTGGATTTACCTGGTATCCGGATGAGAACGGTGTATTGGTCAGTAGAATCTACAGTGGCTGTCTGTCCTCTCTGAAACAAATCAACTGTAATTACTATTCAACTTAACGACATTTTGGTCAGTGTATATAATTAGTCCCCATACAGCAGTGCGGAATACTGTTGTTAATCAACAGACGCCAAACCATCATTGACCACTGCCTCAAAAGATCTCCTAACAAAATGTATACGGTGTACTGTATTGACCTTATTTTCATCTTACAATCCGTACTACAGTACTTTGTGTTAACTATAACTTATTATCCTACATGAAATTATTCTTACAAGTAAATTGTGGAATTACTCTAAACAAGTTCCAGGTAGATTTACGAACTGCATCATAAACACAACTTGAAAAGTCAATTGAGAGGCTCGTATCACTTTAGCACAATCGACATAATAATCCTGCTTGATAATCCTATAGCTTCAATCACTTATCTCACCTTTGTATGGTCTAAAAATTCAATCTGCTACATACAAATTACAAACGACAATATTAGAGTTTAGACCTCAGACCTAACTTGAGATTATGCATCACCTCCAGCCTCCAACATACTGAAACACCTACGGCCTTCATCTGTCACCGCTGTTCAGCGCTGGCCATCCTGACCGTGGAAGAGTGAATGTTAATCAACCTTACTCACTTGCATATTCAAGTCTAGCAGCCTCAAAACAAGGTCGGGTTGAAATTGTTTAAATAATTTTACTTTTCCACCCCTTTAAAAATGCTGGCTGGCGCGGTATTAGCATAGAACTCCCTTATACAACATTTTCAAGAACGGTTGGACGTTTCTGCCAAGAAACGTGACAGGAAAGCTAAAATGTACTACTACTAGTATTTAGCTATGTTATTTTGTTGCCGTGCATTCATGTATTGTACCGGATCACCCTTTCTCAGGCACAGGGCGCCAAGAGAGAGCAAGTACATGAAAGAATTTCCACTCAAAGAAATTTCCAAAGAGCAAAACTTTAAACATTTGCAAAAGATCAAATACAAACATTCCCGACTAGAACGAAGGAGAAAGGCGCGACAAACACGTTGAGCGAAGGTGGACGGGAAGTAGGACATAACGCACCTGCCTCGCCTGTCTGGTCCAGCCACTCTCCCATAGGGTACCGTTACAGCAACTCGCCAGTCGCCACCTTGGGAATACTTGAGAAGCTGTGGGTACTTGATCTGTCGTTGGGGTGAAAGATAGCTAAGTTACAGAAGCCAACAGAGTAGGTACTCAGCTAGGAAATAGTTATATGATTGGGTTTGAGGTTTTGTCCAAAAACTTAGGTTAGCCAAGCCATAAGGTTCTAAAAGTTACTTCCACAACAAGAACAACACGTTACATAAACGATTCAGGCTTTAAACACAAGTTCCCCAGCTACAAATTCCCCTTGAATTTCTAAATTGCCAAGTTGAGCAAACCGTGCAAAATGCTCTCATAGTTTATAAACAACTCATATATAAAAGTAAAGTTCTAAGTGAGGCTGAATGAAAACACGTATCCCAACTTATGAATTATCTATAGAACGGGTAAACGTTCAGGACGATGTTGCAAATATAAACAGTTCCGACACGGACGGTTAATTTCCTCTAAGGCCAGCGCCAACTTTGTTAGTTACTTTCTTCCTTGATACACTTTGCTATTGATTTAAAACATCCTTCGAACTTTGTTGTTAGCTTCATTCAGCTTTAAAAAGTTTATACTAGTAATAGGAAACAATAATAGATTACTGAATTGAATTCCTCAAACAGTTATTAAGTAAATGTATAATATTATCGAAAACCCTTGACCCTGAACTGAACCACTTTTCACGTAAAACCTCAAAATTAAAAAAAAAGTTGAAAAAAAAACTGTGGAAAATGTCATCCCTCCCACTATAATAGTTTTTGTTGTTGTTACACATTACACAAAGATGATCTATTTTTGAACTTCAGTTTTTCGTTTTTATCCCAACACGTTTTAAAATCTCGTGTCAAAGAGGTAAATCAATAACTTCTACATACCTTTAAAATATTAGCATGTTAATAGTATAACCACGTTTATAATACTATACGTAGGCCTAAAGGTGGGTTTCGTCGAAGTAACTTCTTCTATTTACTCTACCACCAGTTTTAAAGTTTGAGACAAAATCCTATCATGTACACACACATGCATACGGCGTTTTAGCTCTTGGATAAAGCTATATCGAAGGTTAAGTGTACCTCCTTACATTGGCTTTTAAGAACCACATTTTATTTACCGTGTTCTTGGTCCGTTCCTAAGCACAGGTAAAGCTACGGAGTAGAGTAGACCTCATAGAAATAAATGGTCCGATGAGACAATAATTCCCTTAGTATACTCATAGATAAAACATACTCCTCATGTTTTAGCTATACTCAAGTTTTATTCATGCTTGCAACGGACGTTTGTAGATTACAATCACTTGTCAAATCTCCATTGAGTACAGACTATAGTGATCTGTAACAAGTTTATTGGACAGTGCGGTCTAGTTAGTTTCGTATAGTAAAGCAGCTGATCATCCCAACATAATATCCACAGTGAAGCATTCACGATTCTGCATCATACTGCGGATTGTTTCAGTTGGGTGTCAGGTTTATTACACCACTTACCGATATGTTTGCGCGTTTATTTGCCTACAGCCGCAGCCGTTTACCTTGGCCCGCGTCCAGCGCTTCATTCTAGTAATCCCTTTATGTCCCAGCTGATTGTCAACTATGTGAACACCTGCCACAGATTGTCCGGTCATATGTGATGGAATTGTTGAACACGAGTGACGGTCTGCAAGCAGCAAATGGTAAACTATTGTTGTCGGGTATGAGAATCTGGTAGAAGAATAATTACCAACTGCCTAAATATTAGCACAATAAGGATATTTGGTAACATTCCTCTTTCATCCGTCTTACTAAGCTGATTTTAAGACTGAGGTGTTATTCAAAGCTTATGATCCAGCAGAGGGCTGAATTGTAACTAAAAAGGTTATTTCTTCTAGGGTTTCCGCACCCCCTAGTGTTTGATTTAATTCTAGAGTTTGCTTTCAGTATTCAGTGAAACTGACCAACTTCCTTTAAAACGGTTTAAAATGTGAATTTGAATATGAACAGGTGATCTTTCAGCGTTGTTTTAGATGATTAGATTCTTTTGGACACCGAGTTAGTAATACTTTCTGCACACTCTTTAGCGAAATCTTCACAGGACAGACTTCAGCAATAGTTACCAACCTACTGTACCAAGTAACCGGTCTTTATATGGACAGTTGGGATGTTGTCTAGTTGGTGACATCCTGTACAAAGGTTAAAGTTATTTCTCGTATTTATCGAATATTAGGCTAATAAATGGCATCTTAAAATATTAAGACAATTAAATCTAACTGCGTTGATCGTACACCATGTTAAGTATTTATATACGGTTAAAATCAATTTCAAGCGGCCAATGGCAGAACAGCCGCGGTGGCATCCGAAACCACCCAGAGGTGACTCAGTGGCCCAATAATGTCACAAGGTGTTTTTTACAATATTTACGGCCAAATTAAAAGTTTTAACAGGCTTGGACGAGACTCAACACGGCTTGGCACCAACAGATAATAACGTGGTTATGATAACTGTGTTTTGCAACTTGTTTAGTGTGTCGCTGACTACGGATCATCACAGACTATAAATTTAGTGTAGGAGGCGACCAGAATCACTTAATCATACTAGTGAAATGATAATGCAGATGTTGTGTTATAGCAGTGGGGATAAAGCGGGAAATATGATTAGTTTGAGTGTGTTGCTAACTCGATATAAAACTTCTCTGTGGAATGAAGAAGCGCCAAAAGTATGGTTTGGTTATACCTCAAGAGTAATACCTTTATATTATGTGCGCGATCGTTATACTAGGGAAAAATTAATAGCTGTGGGTGAGAGGGAAAATCGATCAATTTATAATCGCAGTGTGTCATCATCCAGGGAGGATCACACTATAAACAAGTTGTTGAGTAGTAGTAGCCCAGTAAATAGTTTGATAATACAGTAGTCAGATATTACAGTTATTACAAGGAGTTACAGTTTAGCCGGTTCATCCGATCCGCGTATATAAGGTGAAGGAAACTCCTTACAGTTTTAGTTCGTACCTCAAACGAGCAAGATTTATTAAATCCAACTTTATACACAACGTATACAGTACTAGTGTTCATGACAACAATTGAACATTGAATAATTAGTTAATCGAATGTGAACACTAGCGGAATAATTGAAAGAAGATTAAGAGATGATAAAATTATAATCGTTAGAACAAGAGAGATATATTGTATAGTACGACTTTCTATATATAAAGTAAACCCAGAAAATAAACAGTTTGTTTAACAGCAATACGAGAATTGTCCAAAGAAATCGTAGTTCTGTACTATTTAGTACAATTATGAACAGCTCACAACTGATCAAAATCCTTACAAATACTTCAAATATTGCATTTACTTTTTAAAACAACACCATAGTTTACACGAGGGTAAGTATAAATTAATTCCGGCGCTTGTAACTGCGGCACAATAAGACGAGGAACACAAGAGACGCAGGGAAGGGCTCTGACGTGGATTATGAAATTCCACACCTCCTTCATATCTCCAGTCCCAAGGGTGGAATTGCACCTTAATTCCAACCTTTGTCCTAAAATTCCTCTTCTCATTACGCCTCGCCTAATACAATTAGATTTTTTAATTGCTCCTGTAAACTTTTTATCATAGTTTACACTACACAACTGTAAGGTAGGACATTTTTATCTCCAAATTATAGAATACTATATAAGGAGAACGAACCTTCATTATTTGCATATTACGAGCTTTTCAGTAAATAATAAGAATCTAAAGAGGTTTACTACTACACAGTATTGCATTTGTTATTTTTCCTCGAAATAAACACCAACTGAGCTAAAACTTTGGAGCAATATAAAAAAAATCCCAATTAAACACATACATTCATTCCCTCATTCAAATTTTAAGATCAGTACTTTACCATTTATGCGGCTACTTTATTAATGCACCTCCTAAATTGTCACTATTAAAAT